TTTATCAGAACTTAGCAAGCATTCACTTGTCCAGAGAAAATAGGCAGAAAGGGGGCATTTATTTCACATAAACTATGTAAGGTGAAGTAAACCCCACGAGCTGTTCAGGGTCAGAGGGCAGACGGGGCCTGTGGAACACTCCCTCCCGCCCCCGGCAGCCACCCTTCCATCCCATCCTGGACAGAAAGTGTCTAGCTCAAACTCTGAAGAAGAGATGCAAAGAAGAGACGCCAGTGGCCAAGGAAATCCAACGGCTGTTGACTAAATGGGACTCGGGTCAAATAAAACACAAAGCCGCGTGCCTCTGCCCTCAGTCGTGTCCGGCCCCTGATGAAAATGCTCTCTCTCTGGCCGGTGCCCGGGACGAGGACTTGCTCTTCCAGAACAGACCCAAGGGACCCGGGAGGCTGAGACGGGGGCCCTGCCCGGAGCCCAGGAGCGGTTCACAGATGCGAGCAGACAGGTCACAAGATGAGGTTTGAAATGTGCTCATGCAGTCGGGTAAATCAGACTGTGCTTCAACCATGGCCACGCAGAGACACACCCCCAACAGCCCCTCACCCTGGAGTAGGGGTGAGGCATGGGCAGGCCCAGCAGAGCCCCGCCAGCCCGGCCAACATGCAGAGAGTGATAAGAATAGACAAGGGTAGGGCAGACTGTGGAGTTTTGGGGCGGTTTCCTTATAGCTTTGTAGTAAAAAAGTAGCTATTGCTTTTTAGAATGAAGAAATACAAAAATGCCTAAACGTCTAATTAATCAAAAATGCTTTACAAATTTTGGCCACTGTGGTATGTGCTGTGCTCAGGTCACTCAAAGAGTCACACACAAAGAGTCTTATCCAACTCTGTGCAACCTCTGAACTGTAGCCTGCCAGCTCCTCTGTGCATGGGATTTTCCAGGCAAGGATACTGGAGTGGGATGCCATTCCCTTCTCCAAGGTTTTGTGGTAGTATATGATATTAGGGAGAAAACCATCATCATAACAGTCACCACCACCACCATCATAATCATCACCATGATCACCATCATGATCATCACCCTGATCACCATCACCACCACCATCACCACCATCACCAAAATCACCATTATCATCACAGTCAGCATCACTACCATCATCACCCTGATCACCATCACCATCACCCTGATCACCATCACCATGATCACCATTATCATCACAGTCAGCATCACTACCATCATCACCCTGATCACCATCACCACCATCACCATCACCATCACCATGATCACCATCACTATTATCATCACAGTCAGCATCACTACCATCATCACCCTGATCACCATCACCACCATCACCATCACCATGATCACCCTCATGATCATCACCCTGATCACCATCACCATCACCACCACCATCATCCCCGTGACCACCATCACCATTATCATCACAGTCCGCATCACTACCATCATCACCCTGATCACCATCTCCATCACCACCACCATCATCCCCGTGACCACCATCACCATTATCATCACAGTCCGCCTCACTACCATCATCACCCTGATCACCATCACCATCACCACCACCATCATCCCCGTGACCACCATCACCATTATCATCACAGTCCGCCTCACTACCATCATCACCCTGATCACCATCACCATCACCACCACCATCATCCCTGTGACCACCATTATCATCACAGTCAGCATCACTACCATCATCACCCTGATCACCATCACCATCACCACCACCATCATCCCCGTGACCACCATCACCATTATCATCACAGTCCGCCTCACTACCATCATCACCCTGATCACCATCACCATCACCACCACCATCATCCCTGTGACCACCATTATCATCACAGTCCGCCTCACTACCATCATCACCCTGATCACCATCACCATCACCACCACCATCATCCCTGTGACCACCATTATCATCACAGTCAGCATCACTACCATCATCACCCTGATCACCATCACCATCACCACCACCATCATCCCCGTGACCACCATCACCATTATCATCACAGTCCGCCTCACTACCATCATCACCCTCCTCCTCCTTATCACCATTTTAACTACCACCATCACCACAGGCCCACAAGCTTCTTTCTTTCCCCCTCACTTTCTCTCCAGTCTGGCTCTGTTGTTTATGTGATCTAGGGTTCACTTGGCAGCTTATGATGATGTCAGTCATTTCTGCACATGGGTTACAAAAATGCTGACAACTTCCATCTTGATAACTTTAGAAAATTCCGATTGTGACTTTCATGGGCGTGATTTATGAGTTGGTCAGTGCACTTCTAAATAATCTTCCACTTGGAGGTTTTTGACAAGGATGCAGGAGAGCATTTTTCAACATGAGAAGGCGGGGAGAGCCTTGGGGGAGGGAGGCATCTATCACCAAAAACAGCTGCACCAGGTACGTAAGGGAAACAATTTCTGTTTTTCATTTAAAGTCTTAATAGTTAGCAATAAGAACCATCTGCTCCAGCCCTGGCGTGTTGGCCCACTGCCTCCATGGCTCCGGCGTTCCTCCAGCCTACCTGCCTTTGTTCAGGCTCGAAGTCTCCTTGGACACTCGTCGTCTCCTACCTGCTCCAGAACCAGGCCAAGCCCCTCCCCTTCAAGGAGTGCTTCCTGGCAGCTTCCTCTTAGCATCTTGATTGCACAATTGAAATGCTAAGGTGGAGTTTTACCAAGATGACACTTTTCTGCGCAGAGAAAGAAAGTGCGGGTGAGGGGAGATTTACCAGGAAGGAACAGAGTCCTTCCTAGAGGTAGCATGGCCAGACAAGAAGCTGCTGTGGAGATCACACCGTGATGGACCATAGTTAACAGGGTGGATTGGCATATTTGAAAACTACTCAGAAAATAGATCTTAAAAGTTTTCATCACTAGGGGGAAAAAAACAACATTTTTTTGGTACCCATGTGAGAGGCTGGATGTTATCTAAATTTACTGTGACAGTCATTTCATGGTATATGGAAGGGAAATAATCATGCTGTGTATCTTACCCTTCACAGCCCTGTGTGTGAGTTACATCTCAGCAAAGACGAGGGAAGCAGCCCCCACTGCAGTGGGAGACGTAGAGAGCCTAACCGAGGATGGGACGCTGGGTCCGGAGACTCGGGCCGGGGACCCATGGTCTGCCAGGGTTTCTGGAGCTGTGATGTGAGCAGCATTAGCTTTAACCATGACAAGAACATTTCTGTCTCTTCCGTGGTCCAGCCAGCACCCAGCAGGACAGGAAGTCCTCCAGCCCTCAGTTCCTCATGAGTGGACAGCCGCTTCCCATCACGAGGATGAACATGTGTGCCCTTTGCACCAGCCTGCGCCCTTCACGCATGGATGCCTGTGCTTTCACCAGGGTGCACGTCACCACTGGTCATCTTGTTTGACAGCAGGAGACCGTAACCCCCGAAGGCTGTTGCCCCGAGTTCCACGGCCAGAGGGGTAGCACCTGGGTCCACCCCCCCCCCCAGCCCAGCATCCCTTTCTTGCCTCCTGATGGCAGAACCCTTAGAATGAAACAAGAGGCTGACTACGGTTTCGATAGCATATTTTATTTTAATCTAAGAAAAATGATTAAATTCAAAGTTCAGAAATATAAAAGATTATCCAATAAATTTAGGATCATAGCTGTTTCTTAAACAATGGTGACACACACGGGGGGGCGGGGGGGCTGGTTGTGTGGCTCCAAGGTTTCACTTTGACTTTGCCGCAATTTAAAGGAGACGCCGCAGGAAACGTCTTCGTGAAAACTGTCGAGACAGATCGGCAGGCTGTGTGTTGGGAGGTCTGGGGCCGGGAGATTTTTTTCCAAACCTAAAGCTGGAGCTGAGGCTCTGTCACAGTCCGTCACCCCACTCCACTCCGTGGGGCCCGTGGGCACATCACGGAGGCGGGGCTCCAGCCCTGACGGGGGCAGCCGGCTCTCCCAAGGCCCGGCCTCGCTGCCCCCGTGGGGCCTTCAACTGCCCCCCACCCCTGTCCAGCCCCACTCGGGTGAATTTCCCAGCAACCAGTTCTCGAGCCCTGGATGCCTCCAGGAAAGAAGGGAAGCGGGGGCACCCGCAGGCCTTTGTCCCTGGCTGTCAGGACCAGGGCCCAGCACAGCCTCGCCTGGCCACTCCTTCTTTAAGGAGGCTGCTCGTAACTTGCTCAGGTGACAGTTTTCCCTTCCCGGGGGCCCCGGGGTAGGCCATGGATGGATGGACAGGGGCCAGGCGTAAGAGGAGAAGAAGGCTGACAAGCGTGTTTGGCTGGCTGGGTCAGATCATGATTAAATTTACTCTTCTGAACATGGGGCCCCTCCACGCTGCCTTGGGAAGGCAGACAGAATTCTCTAGCATTTACAGCGTGGATAATCTGAGCCCAAGGCAAGACTCAAACAGAAGCTCACAATGGAAAAGCAACCATACCATGAAGAGTTTGAAATATCTCCTTTTCTACCAGGGCTCTGTGGATAAACACTGTGCTAGTGGTTGGATAACTCATTGCATGTGCAGGAACTCGGGAAGGAAAACCAAAAAGCTAACACAAAATCCCAAGAAACGAACAAACCCGGGACGGGGACAGCAGTCGGTTACAAACGTCTACGGAGCTGTGGAGCTTCCAACACGGATCCAGCGATGCCGCCGGGACAGGAGATCCCTCGCAAAGCCAACCTGGCGGGACTACTAGTAAGGCACCCATCAGGAGGAGGTTGGAGCCAGGGCACCTCAGCCAAGGCTTCTGTCGGTTAACATGCGTAGGATGAAGAAATTAAGCTTAAACCCACTCAAAATACATCTCCACCAGCTACAGAGTTTGAAGGTCAAAGAAGGACACATACATTGTATGTGATTAATTTTCTGAAGCCAGCCCTTCCATTTTCACAGATTAAAGCCGTCTGTTTAAATATCTCATTTCTACAAAGTGAATTTACAGTTAAAGTACAAAGTGCAAATACTATGTGTTTGTTTTGTTTTTTTTTAATTGCTTTTTGGTGAGGGAGTTGGCCACGTGTCTAGGACCTGCTGTGGAGTCATTTATCCTTGCTTCCTTGGCTGAAAAAAAAAAGACAAAAAAGAGATATATTAAGACATTTGGAGCACTCATTTCTGAAAATGAAGGCTTGCCTTCCAGGAATAAAATAAATCCAGCTCATAAGAACAAAGGGAAAGCAACATTTTATATAGAAATGAAAAGAGAGAGCACTTCACTTGGGATTGCTGTATCTGCTTATTCTCTAAGTCATGTCCGACTCTTTTGTGACCCTATGGACTGCAGACCACCAGGCTCCTCTGTCCATGGCATTTCCCAGGCAAGAATACTGGAGCGGGTTGCCATTCCCTTCTCCAGAGTATCTTCCTGACCTAGGAGTTGAACCTATGTTTCCTGTATTGGCAGGCAGATTCTTTACCACTGACTGACCCACCAGGGAAGCCCCACTTGAGATGTAAGAATTAATTAAAATAAATAAAAGTATTTTGGGCACTTCTTAACCTCTAGCACTTTTCTTTCATTCAATGTTCAGAAATATAAGAAAAAAATATATCAGTTGGGGAAGTTAGCATTTATTTCATGTACTGTAAGTAGCTTCAATATATTAAACATTCTGCAGAATCTCCAATCACCATGGATTTATCATACAAATGTATTTTTAATGATCTAATTTATGCTTCAGATTTTATAGAGGCATAGCTGCTTTTTGACAATTTTATTTTCGTCCTTTTCATTCATTATTCCATTTCTAAGAAGAAATACAACTGAAAGGTTTGCTTACTAAGTTCCTGGAATTCTGCACTCTGCCAATTAAAAATCATACAGAATGAAAAGGAGAAGTAGTGTACAACCTTCTTGGTTTATTTTTCCACATAGACCCATTCCAACCAACACATGTCAGTTCTATTTAAAATAATGACATTTAAATATTGAGGAGACTTCTGGGTTGGCTTTTATCTCCTGCTAAATATATGAACAGGTGGCAAGAAGAGATATTGCCTCTCCCACATTAAGTAAAGAAGACATTCTATTTTAATTAGTTGTGGAGAAAGATAAACCATCACCACGTTTAATCAGAGAATAAAACTGATCAGATTTGCTGGAGAAGTGGCACTAATGTTTTACATCCCTATCACTGACGGCAGGGTTCTGATCACCGATGATCGTGATGGAAACTGCAGAAGACACCCAGAAAAGAAGTTCACTTTTTTTTTTTAAATTAAATATGAGCTTCATGCATCCTCTGAGATGCCCTTTATTTCCTATCCTTGTATTTGGTTATTCACACAGTGAAAGCCTTTGGTGGTTGGACTCTTGATTCTTTCACGAAGTCTGCAAGGTCTTCAATTGGTTTAATAATGCCAGCTGCAGCAGGGCCTCACCCAGGATCACGGTTTGCAGTGACAAACAGAAAGAGCTGGGGAGACTGCGCCGGATTCCTTTTCCAGGGAAAAAGCTCAGGAGTGAGGCTTGTGCCTGGAGCAGAGTTTATTTCAGACCGAGGCAGCGCATGTGTGCCCATCACCATTGTTATCTTAGGAAAAAAGTCATGTGGAAGTCTTGGGAACTCAGCCAGGTAATTGCTTTCAGACCAGCCCTGTTCTAAAGCACAAGTGATTTGGCCTGGGATTTAAAAAGTTGAAACCATAAACACTTGCTCAACAAAGAAGACCAACCGTGTTACACATCTTTCCTAATGAAACGGTTGTAAGTTACATCCAAGGTGCGCTGGAGGCCTCCACTTCAAACCCACAAGAGACACAGGGGCTGGTCTCAGGAAACGGGGACCTGACGTCAGAGAGGTGAAGACAAAATACACAGCAAGTTGGCGAGCGGTCTGGAGAAAGGAGGGTATGGCCCTGGCTTCAGGGAGGAGGGAGGAACCGAAGAGACTCTAGGCCCCAGAGGGCTGTGGTTGGGATGGCACGGTCACCTCCTCTAACTGCAGATGGAGACCCAGCCTCAGAAGAGCAGAAGGGGGTCTATGAGCGCACACGGCAGGAAGCTGAGTCCCTTCCGAGGCGGCGCTTGGCAAAAAGTGGAGGTGCCCCGGCCCTGCAGTCTCCCTCACCATACACAAGCAATAATTACAGGCGCAGATCCCGGAGAGCTGTTTAAATATACATACACGTACATAGTCCCACAAAACAGGGGGACTCAGAAATCTTTCTCAAAATAATGAATAACTGAAATTTCAAGTAGTAAAATAAATAATTAGGGCAAAATCTTGAAGTTGATAATTCAGCAAGCTGGTGATTTCTGACAGAAGCTTGCCGCGCTCTCTGAGGCCTCACAGGGGTATTGGCAGGGTAAGTTGTTCCTTTCTTGGAAGGCACTTCACTTTCCAAATGAAAAGAACTTCAGTTGTTATCACCTACAACTAAAGCAGCCAGTTATCGCAGCTGCAGTGTGAACATACTCACCTGTCTATTGGAAGCGCTTTCAGCATTCCCTCTAGGGGCTGGCAGGGAAAAAGAGAGAGAGAGAGATTAGAAACCAAATACACTTCATTAGGGAAAGGCTAAGTAGACTTTCTCAGGAAGAGATCCACATGACTACAGGGAAGAGGCATCCGCCAGCAAACTCTGAGAAAACAGGCTTTACATATATGCTTGGCATGGAGCATAAATAATGGATCACAAGAGCCAGCATATAAACAATTTTCAACAACGCAGACACTCTAGTCCAACTTCAGAAGACTGTTCCATTTTGCCCCCAGATTCCACAGGCGTGTCCACTCGCCGTGGAGAGCGCCTTCCTCAGTTTCTCAAGCTCCGCCAGGGAGAGGCGACCCAGGCACCGGGGCGTCCAGCACGTGATGCCGGCGCTCTGAAAGCTTTGGGTTTCATATTTAAATCACGAGAATCACTTAACTGGTTGGCTCAAAATAGCTATTCCCAGATCCTGGTTGGCTCCAGCTCCTGGCTTGAGCCTCTTTCAGGACAGGGACCTGCGACCTCACCTGTGGAGACACTTTCCTGCCCCCACACCTCCACCTGGAATTCCAGTCTCCCCGTATCACCTCCTTAGCAGGCAGCACCCGCTATAGCAGATTTTCCCCATTTATTCCATTTCTTGTTTCCACACTAAAATGTAAGCTCTAGAAGCACATGGACTTTTGTCTGTTTCATTTACTGTGATTTTGCCAATGCTTTGAGCAAGGAGCCCCTGATAAATATCTTCTGAATGAGTCAGTAGGTGGAGGGCAGCACCCCAACCCCAAATGCCTTGATTAATTGTTAATGACCATTCATTCAATTAATAAACTAAAAAGCAAAATTATTTCAGGTTCAAACCTCTTCTCTTGCTATATTCAAGCAATCAGAAACAGAGCATGATCAGTTGACACACAAATGTATTAAGCAAATTGCAAAAATATTGAGTAAGTAGTAGCTAAATGTCCTATTTCTTTCACTTGTAGGTTTGAACAATTCAAGGATCTGGATAGTAGCTGTTGCCACTCTCCACTTTGTTTGGCCTGCGATGACAACTTTATAGAGAAAGCAGGTGTTGGGCCATTGGTTCAAATTCAGAGAATATTAAACTGATACTTTGAATCTATTCTAACCAACTGGGCTGTCAACAATTGCCAGATTTTTCTTGGTTTCTTTTACAGTAAATAGTCTACTGATCATTGGAGGTAGCCACAGATTAAAGTTAAGTTACAGCAAGAAAAGTTAACACTTCTATGAGTCTAGAACTTTGCTCTATAGATGAATAGAATATAAATTTCATTAATGACCCTGGGTGAAATATTCCACTCAAGACAGAGTAGGGAAAAACTCCATGAAGGAGTTTTTTTAAATACATAAAGGGCAAAAAAATAACCTGCTAATTAATTTGAATGAAACAGAATGTACATCATTAAAATAAATATGAAGCCATGCCACATCAATGAAAACAGTTTTCAGTGAAAAAAGGAGCATGTACCTCCCAGCTCCCAATGCGAAGCTTAGCGATGGATGGTGGGTGGGGGGTGGGGGTGATGTCATGGTATCAAATGATACTGGTCACTTCCAGGTGACACTGGACATTGAGATGTGGCTGTAAGGCAATACACCTGAGAGAATATAGCCAGCATGGCAATTTGGGTGAAAAACAATTTGGTCAAAAATGAGCATTTCCTAATTGTTGATGTTCTGTACAATTGTCATTTTCTGTACAAGAATCATGAAGACATGCTGTCATCTTTTGTGAATTTTTTCCTGAACCCTTGGAAAATATTTTTTCTCTGTTCTATCTTTTCTCAATATTTTTCAGGATATTTTTTCATTTTTGCATTTTTTTGTAATATCAAAAATTGAGATCATGCTCCCAATAATATGTCTTGGTTGCAAAAATTTAAATGCAAAATCTTGTTTAATTGCTTAAAGCAAAAATGAATGTGATTAAGTATACATATTATGAGCAAGTTTGTAGTGACAACCATAGTGCATAAATATGCATGTATTTGCTGTTCAGTCGAGGTCATGATGCCAAAGACTGTATGCATATATGAACAGAAAGAGTGTTTGGAAAGGTATAGATCTGGTCTGATTTTTGTCTCAAAATAAAAGATCACATGTTATGCATGTTCTTTATTTGATTTCTCATATTTTTTAGGATAAAAAATGTATTATTAGGTAGTGAGCAAAAAAAAAAGAAAAGAAACCGATAACATCTTGGGTATTTAGAAATAATCCCTCCTGAATATTTATACTTCTTTGACTTTTCCCTATTTCAAATGACACAGGATAGGAAAAAATAAACAATAATAAAATTGGAGAAAACTAACAGTAGGAAAAAACTAAGAGAAATTCAGCACAAAAAAAAAGAAAAAGAAAAGAGCTTCAAATCAGCTAATTTTTTATCCAAATCACCAATGCTCATGTTTTAACAAATTGTCATTTTTACTACATTAGATTATTTGAGGGAGATCAGGGGCCATCAGTCCTCATAGCTCAGTCAGTAAAGAATTTGCCTGCAAGGAAAAGACCTGGGTTCGATTCCTGGGTGGGGAAGATTCCTTGGAGAAGGCAATGGCAACCCCCTCCAGTGTTCTTGCCTGGAGAATCCCATGGACAGAGGAGCCTGGCGGGCTATAGTCCATGAGGTCACAAGAGTCGGACCCAACTTAGCAACTAAACCACCACCACGGAGCCAGAGCTTTCCCGTCCCAGTTGAGCTACAAATACAGGGAGGCGTACAGACCACCATCTACCGATGCTCCAGACTCTGCTCTCAGAGTTGCTTCACGTTTCAAATGTGCTGCAAATTTGGCAACAGGAAGATGGGATCGTAAGGCAGCAGCGGTGCGAGAGGCCCCGTGGACCCCACCCGGCCCCAGGGACCAAGGTGTTGGCTGGTGGTCCAGTGCTTGGAACAGCGCTCGGGGTCCAGAGAGACGCACCCAACCGGCAGCACAGCTGAAACTGTTTCAACAGCGGAAACGACCGTTTGGAGACAGGAATGATTGAGCGGCTAATAATCAGGCTGAAGGTTTGGTCGGGGGCCATGCCTGGGGTCCCCAAGTGGCTCCCAGGGGTCCCCAGTTTGCTCTTCAGCATCAGAAGGCGGCCACTTGGGGAGGGCAGGCTCCCCACCCCTCCCGAGGACAGAAGAGTTAAGACGCGTCTCGCGTCTTAAGAGCTCCAGACTGAGCTCTGTCCTTTCCAAGCCGGCTCCCCTCTGACCATTCCCCGACGGTCTGCCAGCATTTCCGTGAGCAGGGGACCTACAGTCAGATGGCCCGTCACACTGCCTCCACCCTCAGACTGTTGGGACCGTTTCTCTGTCTTAACTCTCAGCAGAGGCGTGGAGAGTGGACAGGAGTGGCTGCGAAGTGAGGAGAAAGGCTTACCGTGGCGCTTCCTCGCGTCCGCCTTGCCTTCCTCTCTGGTCGCGCCCAGGCAGCCCATCAGCTCTTGCAGGGAGATGGACTTGTCGTTATTCACATCGCAGTACTCCACAAACTTCTTCACGCATTTCTTGGGTTTGGACTTCTTCCGAAGAAATCTCTTGAAGGGCTTGATTTCCTTTTTGCCGATGTCCCCGCTGTTGTTTTTATCCAGCAGTTTGAAATACCAGTGGACCACTCGCTCCTCCAGCGTGTGGCTGGGGTCAGGTTCTGAGAGCCTGGAAGACACGCAGGTGGTCAGGACCCCCGCCCCAGTCCTGGTCTGTCCAGAAAGGCATCCCAACCCAGCTCTATATTTCCCCAATGGAGGGACCTGCTTGTCACCTTTTCTCCTTCCTGAGGCATAAGGCTGCCTGGCTTTGCCCTTCGATATAAGAATGACTTTTTAAAAATAACTTAAAAAAGAGGTTTGGCAAACATTTTCAAGTTGGTTTCAAACTTGCAAATGGCCCAGTGAGTTTGTACAGGCCGGTCACACACCGGGTGTCGGCAGGTCTCGAGGGCCAGGCCCCGTGGACCGCCACTCGGATCACAGGATGCGCATCTCCACTACCTGCACCCTGAGGCTTTCTACTCCTCTAACTGTGCTCCTGGGCAGGCCGTTGATGTCACAGGTAAACTAAAAGGTAAAAACTAACATGTATCCTAAAGTGGTAACCAGACATCTTACCCTGGATTGAAAAAGAAAGTTTGGTATTTTAAGATATTAGTTAAAAACTCTTCCAGACGTTCTGCGTTCAAGGCTGATCGTGGAAACCCCGATCTTATGACGTGGTTTCTCACTAAGTGGAAGATGCCGGCAGGTGCTCAGGGAAGCCCTGGTCCTGCTTCCTTGGCCGGCTGTCAATCTCCTTGTTGCTATGAGCGTCAAGAGTGAGTCAAACACCAGACGTTCCCGGGTATTAGGGCTTTCTGAGACAGTTGACTATTTCTCAAACTTTCAGAGGACCTTCTAGGATGGAAATTCACTTACTGCTTTCAACTGTAGTCTTACAGAGAAGAGCAATCTTTCTGAGAATATAAGATGTCAATTTGAACTTCGGGTGGTTTTGTACAGTTTAACTTTCTATTGGATTCATAGCCCTGCCCTTTATTCTTCCCCATTCTGACTCTTAAGCAGAGACAGAGAGAGAGACCCAGAGGGGGTGGGGGGCTTTGAGTCAAGGGGACCAGAAATCTTAGATCAGCTAGAAGAGATGGAATAATCAAGGTTTGGGGAGGAAGGCCAGTGATCTAAGAAAATACAGACAGGGAGGTTCCCAACCAGAAAATGTGCTTTGAGATAAAGAGACTGATGATCGCTAATTAACAGGGGAGAGCCAGTGCTTGAGATACCGCGTCCATTAAATCCTAGACATGACCCTCCTGTGGATGGACAGTCACCCACAGATGCAGGTCAGCTTCAGGGACTTGACCGCATCTCAGGAAGCGGAGCTCAACGCCTCAGCCCCAGAACCAAGCGCATCTGCCGGGTGCTCAGGGCAAGCCTCCCGAGGTTCAGAAGTCAGACTCTGAGTGGTGATAACGCAATTAACACCCCTGAATCGCAGCCCCGGAAAGGGTTAAGAAGGCGAATGTTACATCATATATATTTTACTAAAGAAATCCTATTTCGAGAATTTTAAATCAAACAATTTAATGGGATGCATTTATAAAATCTACTCACTGGCTCTGAAACACCATTCTGAAGCAGGGAGCCCTCTGGGCCGGGTTCTCCCCCCGGCCAGCGTCGGCGCCCTCCGCCTGATGGAACCTGGGGAAACCCCAGGGCCTTGGCCTGGTCCCATGCCGGCAACGTCCTCACAGGACTGATCGCATTACGGGAAAACCTGCTAAGCAAACCTCCTCCAGGCGAGGACCTCGTGCTTGGGGAGGGGTCTCCTCCACTCCGGGCTCTGCTGTGCCCGCTAAGCTGACCCCCGAGACTCCAGTGGCTGGACCCTGCCCTCCAGCTTCCGAGAGCCCCCGACCACCAGGCTCTGCCCTAGCCCCTGCTCCAAGGTCAAGCGCAACGCACCTGCCGGGGGAGGAGGGGTCGGAGACCGCGTGGACCATGTCCGTGGACAGCGCATCCAGCACACTCGTCAGAAACTCGTTCTTTTTGGCACCAGGACAACCTGAGAAAAAAGAAAAAAACAACAAGTACAGACATCTGTTCACATTTCCCAGAACTCACAGAGTACAGCAGACTTCCCTGTGATGGAAAGAAGGGCTGGTTTAGGACTCAGAGGTCTCGGGGTCAGGCACATTGTATCAGTGAGTTCATTAGAACACCTGCAAGTACGCTGCAGCCCACACATGTTGATTTTAAACCCCAGCTTCTGAAAACCACAGTCTCTAAGACTTCTTGAATTATTTCACCACACCAAGAGATGGGCATTACCACCTGACTGGCCCCCAAAGCGGCAGTCCCCGTGGCATCGCTGCCCCCGTTGGGTAGGGAGCCCCGAGGCTGGGAACCACCCCAGGCTCACAGGGCTGGATCAGGACTCCCTGGCGTCCGGTCGGATGAGCCTGAGACAGAAGCTGGCTCGTGGCCCTCGAGTGATTCTGCAGAGGAGTTCACCTGAAGCTTAACATTCCATAATGCTCTCCACCTCCGAGAGGTCACTGAACGGTCCCCAAGCCCCCTCCACCCTCAGCGTTTCAGGATGAAGAGATGCAGCTGGGCACATCTTTCCTGGGCTCCGAGAAGCAGGAGGAAGCCTCTGACCGGACTGGATGGCAGTGCTGAGTGTGGCAGCCAAGTCACTCAAGACCCGCGTGTTTACACAGTCAGAGAGCTATGGGTTTCACAAACCTCCTTTTGACACTTGAGTTTTTGTTATTATTATTCAAGCACATGTTAATTGCCTGTAGCAGGAATCCATTTACGCTGGTTTCCACTTTGTTAAATACACATATCAGAAAACAGATGCCAATCCCGAAGGGTCAGGGGAGGGTGAAAAAAGAGCTGTGGTGTTCCCCTATGAATACAATTAGCAAAGGAGATTGCGATCTACAGGGGAAACTCCCAGGGAGACCGTTACTTTTCAAGGAAAAAATAAAATATCACATTAACCACTCCCTGGGGAGGGAGCAGCAGACCTGCGGCTGCAAGCACATCTGGGACGGTCATCTGATGCAGTGGTCATGGCCCGCTCCAGGGCGGGCAGCACCCTCGGCACAGCGCATCTGGAACGGTCATCTGACGTGGTCATCGCCCGCTCCAGGATGAGCAGCGCCCTCGGCACAGCGCTGGGCTCCCCCAGAGCAGCCTGTCAACCGCCGAGAGGACAGAGGACAGCAAGCAGGCCTGAGGGTGCTGAGCTTCAGGCCGGCGCTCTGCCGGGCAGGCTGTTTCCCACCCGGGGAAGACAGGGGTGTCCCAGAGGGTGTGCACCACCCACCCCAGCCCAGCTGCCCCCCCGGGAATCTCCACACCCCGCTGGCATCCAGACACCAGAAAGGGATGTGGGCAAGTGTCTGGGGAAAGCCTAACCGAGGCCACCGCTCGGGTCTGGACGGCTGTAAGGACGAACGATGCCGGCCTTTTGGGTGGTGAGTGACCAGTGGTGATCAACTCCGGTTACATTTGCTGCCAATTTAATCATATCCCCCAAATGAGGTGAAGGTTTTTAATCAGAAAATGAGATATATTCATCATGAAACACAAGACTAATTGCATCTAAAAGATTTAGAAGGCTTTAACGCACAGAACAGTTAACATTGAAAGTTTAATCTACTTCTAAACCAAGAAATATTAAGTCAATGCTTCTATTAGCATTTTTTTTTTTTACCATGGTGTAAATTACAGACTTTAAAGTTCAGGTATCTTCCTGCTAAGGATTATATTGTGCAGTTGAGAGGTCACTTCAGTCCAACAAAAGAATACCTTTCATGTTTATTTGCAAAGACACTAAACTTCACCTGAGTAAATAAAAGGACAAGATGGTTTAGGGGCCAAGAAATGGAGCTACTGCTCCCGAGACAGTTCCCGCCCACGCTGTGTGGACGTGGACACGAGCTTTAGTGTGAACAGCTGAGAATCGCACACGTGATGCCAACCTGCGACGGAGAACCCAACAACAGAGCTGTGCTTCCTCCACACGCCGCACTAAGACCCAGGCAGAGGCCTGGGACTCGGGGGTGAGCAACCCTCAGATCCAGCAGACCCCGGCGCGCAGGTCCACGTCCTCCCCTGACGGGGAGACAGACGCCGGGCGGCCTCACACTCAGAGACCTGTGGCTGCTGGTTTCAAGGACAGCCCCTCATGAAGCAGAAATAGCTGCACCATCTCTGAATACGTGTGTGAACAAATAGGGCCAGGGCAGCACCCACTGTGGTCACCATCCTGGGGAAACAGTCCCCACACAGAGGATGAGAAGGCTGGATGGCATCATCAGCTCAACTGACGTGAGTTTGAGCGAACTCCAGGAGACGGTGAAGGACAGGGAAGCCTCGCGTGGTGCAGTCCATGGGGTCACACAGAGTCGGACATGACTGAGCAACTGGACAACAATGATAATATGTCAGGGTCAGGCGGTACCGAAGGCTGGTAGACCAAGGGTGGAAGGGGGGCAAGGACCACAGGCTTCACCTCCTGCCTGCACCTCAGCCCCCAGCTTTCCCCAGCCCTCCTGGGAGGACGTCTTCTCCTGGGAACACAGGAGTCCCAGGCCTGCTCATCTTCCACGATGTTTGTAAAAGTGAGAAAAAATTAGAAGGAAAAATGCAGAGCACGCACGATTAAGAAGTGCCTTCTGGTTATATGAGAAGTGACAGCGCTACCAGGAACTGGACTGGGCCTCCCGAGGAGCCTCAGAGCTGGGGGACGAAGGGAGCGGACCCCCGGCTGTCGGGTTTCCCAGGAAGCGCACAGCATCCCTAGCCTCCCTCATGCTCGCCCCCTCGGGCCGCGGGCCGCAGCGACCACCGCAGAGCTCCGCGTCCTGACTGCAGACCACGCCTTGTGGCCAGCAGCCTCTGAGCCCTGGGCGCAGCTCAGCGGGTCGCTCACCTGGGGACAGCAGGTGCCCACTTGAGGGGGCCCGGCCTCCCCCGCAGCAGCTCACCTCCATTCCCTCTGCCCGCAGGGCCTGGCACGGCCCCCAGTGCCCGTAAACCTCGTGCTGGGGAAACGGCGGCCGGCAGGCTCCGTGACGGGACCCAGAGTCACCGCGTATCTGTGTCCACCACAGGCTCACTCCCTGCTGGACGTGGAGCAGGCCCAGAGGGCTCGGGTAGGGGCGGCTCAGGGCAGGGACAGCCCCGCACCAGGACCTTCCACGGAGACCTGACCGCCCGTCAAAGAGACGTCTGCAGAGGGGCAGCCAGGCGGCCCTTCTCCAAGCTGGAAGCAGAAGGGCTGCAACCATTGACTTACATATCCGAGGCAAAACCCAGCACCCCGCGTGGCCTGGAAATGCTCAGTTCATTTCATTTATCTGTGAAATCCAAGGAAAATACTTGGCATCCTGTCGGAGTCCTGTGCAGACACCCAGGTTCTAATCCCGGCCTGACCCGCGTGAGCGGGTGGCCGCGTCCCAGCCTCAGTCCCCGGGCCCAGCGAGCTCCTCGGCAGCGAGCCGGTGGCCACCGCCCCCAGACACAGGCTCTGTGTGGCCCCAGGGAGCCTGGTTCATAGCTGATGCCTTAAAAACTATTTCACTTGTTAACTCCTGAAATGAATGCATTCAGCCCTGTCTGTGAGACATCTTTATTTTTTAAAATAGACGTTTTTGGTGTAGAAATCACTGACTTCAGCAACTTGACTGTTTCATCTTTTCCCTTTTCTTGCAAACACAGATGGAAACCTTTTCAGGGCTGAGACCTCGACCACATTGGGAAACTCCACTCCACGTGGTAACTGGCATCTGCTGTTCTCCCATCACCCAGCACACTCAGGATCGCCCTCGAGAGGAGAGCCAACACTGAGACAGGGAAGGCGGCCTGGCCATGTCCTCAGGATGGTGTTGTACACAGTACACAGCATTGGACCGTGTCAGCCAACACCATGCCTAACTGAGGTCCGCGCGTTGCCCAGCAGGTGAGGTCTCGGGGCTGCAGGTCAGGGGAAGCGGGGCTGAGGGTCCACGGCGGACCGGGTGACAAGACGCGGTGAAGGGTCAGGGGACAGTGAGAGACATCAATCGGGCTTTAAAGCATCTGGCACTGAGTGGGGCTTAAAAGCTTCATCTGGCGGGTTTATTATTTGAAATGTCTGTGCAACTAACATAGGTGAGAAATAACGTGAAATGGAAATAAGAAACCGTTCTCTGATTTTTGGATCCCTCTGAGGAGCTGTGTGTGCACCTGCATGCATGTTCATCCCACTGTAATTATCTGCTTCCCTGTTCATAGTTTTAACTCCTCAAGTTTTGGAAGTCTGCCTTCTCCCAAACTTTTAAGAATTTAGCACACAAATTTTCAGGGAAGCCTAGTTTTGTGCGATTTCCCAGAGTGACATGAACACATCTGACCTGCAGGGTGTGGGTCAGAAGCGAGAGCTGCCATCTGCCGCCTCCAAAGGTTGTGAGAAACTGGAATTAAGTTGCACCTGTTCCTCTAGAAACGTGACGACAAACACTGATAACTGTCTCTGAGTGGATTAAACCCACTCTTGCCTGAAGACTAACACAATCTACAAATTGCTAACCTATGTGAATTTTCAGTTCAGTTCAGTTCAGCCGCTCAGTCGTGTCCGACTCTTGGGGACCCCATGGACTACAGAACACCAGGCCTCCCTGTCCATCACCAAATCCCAGAGTTTGCTCAAACCCGTGTCCATCGAGTCAGTGATGCCATCCGGCCATCTCATCCTCTGCCGTCCCCTTCTCCTCCCACTTTCAGTCTGCAGATTTTAAATCCCTTAATTTCACTTACAATATTTTGGACCACATAAAAGCAGCTGAGTGGGTCGTAATTTCTTTCTCAATTACCTTTGCCTGAAAGTGAACGCGAACACAGGATGAATCATGCTATTCTTTTTTCCTGTGTGTTTCCTGTGTTTTTTCCTGCAGGCGGGGGGAGCTGCAACGAGCTCCCTGCACAAACCTCGTGCCCTGGAGCCGGAACATCACCTCCATCCCTGTGTGCAGAGGAAGCGGGTTTGTTCCCTGGAGGGAGACTCCTCCT